TTAGGATGGGGACCATAAGTTGAAGATCTTAAAATGATTCCTTTGAAACTGCCGAAGCCTATATAAACCTTGGAAAGTCTGTGTGCCACAGTTTGAGGACCATTTATTCAAGACATGTAACTAATTTCTCTGGCTGATTTACTTGCTCAGTAAGGAGCCCTCTCATTTTCATGTCATTCAAATATCCCTATGCCTGTGAGTAGTATGCATGTCACATTAACAGTAATAACTCAAATTACACTTAATTTTGTCCCCATCTCCTGATGAAACCTCTCCTCCTTTGCAAATTCCATCCACTCCACCCCCAACCCAAGCCCCCAAGCAGTGGCTCTTAAGTGCTCACAGGTAAATCCACATGGCAATTGTCTCTCACGGGGCATAGGCATAACAGCTGTGTTTTGCACACTTTCACATAGTAAAATGTACCAGAAACCAAGTCAACTTTTGTAAGCCGAAAATGTATTACATGGCCTAGCACGGATATTTTAAAATACCATACATTGTCATTATTGTTTAACTTGTACAAGAATATTTTAGAATTATTTCTTACTATGAAATGTTTGAGGCATACAATAGAATATATATGTAACACATATGTAAACTATCAGGGAAACATTAAAATGAATACTCTTGCACCCATCAGCCAACTTTTGAACTAAAATATGAGCAGTAGTTTTATATCTGCATGCTCTGTCTCCATCCCATTCCCTGCCTCTCTGCCACATATAATCACTATCCCAAGTTTTGTCTTTAGCACTCTCTTCCTTTTAAATATAAACTTTATCACATGTAAGCATTCCTAAACAACCTATTGTTTAGATTCTCTTATTATTCAGCTTTATAAAAATTATACATTCTAGGGCCAGCCAAGTGGTGCACTGCTTAAGAGTTGGCTTGGGACGCTAGCTCTGAGCATCAGGGCCCCAGTTTGGATCCCACATGAGGGCCAGTGACGCTGCGCCCTCTACAGCTAAGATGGTGAACAACAGCTCAACCTGGAGCTGGGCTGCCTAGAGTCGCCTGCAACAGCGTAGGCTGTAGTCCTTGCTGCAGTGGGCTGCTGTTAGCCACCGTGAGTAGCCTGCAGACAGCGTGAGCAGCTGGCAACCAGCATGAGCCGCTGTGAGCCTCCATGAGCTGCCATTCAGGGTCTGGTGACCGATCTGCCTCAGCTGGGAAGAGTACAATGATCATAATACCAACTTGGGCCAGTGAAGCGACGTCCTTCACAACTAGACTGAACAACAAAAGGTCAGCATCTTGTCTGTTCCCCTTCCCCAATTCCCCGATAAAATATATATAAAAAAATATATATTCTATGTACTCCTCTGTAAGTTGCTTTATTTATTCAGTATTTCTAAGATTCAGCAATGAATTATATGGTTGTTATTACTGAAATATAATATTTCATTGGGTAAATCACCCTAAGTTTTTAATCCATTCTTCTGAAATGAACATTTGGATTGTTTTAATAATTTTGCTATTACAAGCAATGTTGCTTGTGCATACTTGCAAGAATTTCCCTAAGGATATATATATATACCTAAGGGTAGAAATGCTGTGTATACACATTTTCAACTTTACAAGATAGTTCTGAATTTGTTTTCAGAGTGATTGTACAAACTGACATCACCTCTACCTTTTGATTTGTGTCTTCACCAACTCTTGTATTACCAAACTTCTTAATATTTACCAATCTAGTGATTATAAAATATTATCTCCTTGGGGTCTTAATCAGTAAATTTCAAATTACATATTTTGTTGCCATTTGGGTTTACTCTTCTACCATATGCCTGCCATAACTTTTGACCATTTTCCAGTTGGATTTTTATTGATTTGTGAGGGTTCTTTATATATAATCTAGGTATTAATTACTTTTCAGTTGTAGGTGATATATCTTGATTATATCCAATCTTTTTTACATAAGCTTTTCTCAATCAGTTCTTAGCATCCTGTGGGTCTTGTACATTTGCCCATAGGTACTGATATTTTCTTCCTTCAGTAGCAATGCCTCATGTTTGTGTTAGACAACCAGTTTACAAAGCACCCTCACAAATCTTACCTCATTTGACTCTCCCAAGAGCTTTAAAAAAACAAGCTGGGTATTATTATACTGGTTTTAGAGACAAGGAGACTGAGTGGTTTGCTCAGGGTTAAAGGGCTAAGTCCTCTGAATTTGTATTCTATATCCTCCTTATATTTATATGATGTTTCAGCTATTTCTAAATGATGGCATATTCATTTAAGCAAATGCTGCACCTCTGTTTAGCATCTTTACTTCAGTTCCTTCTTTTTTAATATGTATAATTCAAATTTTAGCTCCAGTCTATGAAGTTCATTCTAAACTCTATCTATAATATAACGTATGATGAGTAAAGGAAGCACCAAGAGAATTTTTAATAGAATATGTATTTTTTAATTTAAGAGAGTTTAGGAAAATATTAAAAACCATAACAATTATCTACTCTGGAGCAAATCACACTTTTGGAAATAATGGGTCTATCATGTAAACGAGATGATTTCAAGTTCAGTATTTTCTTTTGGCCTTTAGAGAGTTACAAAGAAAAATACATGGAATAAAGAGAAGAAAAATATATTTTAACATTTATGACTATTATCTAAATTGGCTGTTGTACCTACATCAAATACTGATTTTCTATTTAATTGGTCAATTATTAAATATTGTCTATTTGTTATATTAGATATAACTAATACTTATAATTAGCATTAAATGTTCAACATATAATGGGGAAGTAATATTGGTAGGACAGTAATTCCATCACTCAACCTCCAGCAGAGGCTCCTACCTGAGTGTAGGCATCAGTTGGGTAAGTGTCCACCTACAGTGGGAGCCCAAGAAGGGTGGGATGTTGTTTCTCAAATGAGAGGTGCCTAAATGTTAATCCTCAAACATTTGAAATAGTAAAAGTAATACTGTACTTCTTACTTTATGGGGGTTGTTTCATTCATTCTCAAGCTAATCAAACTACTACATGTGAAATCTTCAACCTTTTGGTAGTTTCCATGGATTATTCTAGTTTTATTTTACGCACATTACATACACAAGAGAAAACTGATGCTGAAACTAGCAATAACAAGAAAGGTCCTAGGGATAAATAAGGAAACAACATTCCTACTCTGAGGTATTTTAATCACCATGTAATAGTTATATCTTAAGGATTTCCTGGATACATACTTTGATGAATACTAAAGAGATAGGACCACCTCATATCTTCTCCAAAGAGAAAGTTCTTTAATAGCAACTGTGTTAAGTAGAACATCAGTATTTTTTATCCAAAGGGAAGAATCTACCAAGCCAGCTCTCCCACCCTCACCTCATGGAAGGCCTCGAACACTTTTTCTACAGAGTAGGGTTAGTAATTATCTACAGATAATTAATTACTAAATAGGACCTCTCCTAGATCTCTTTCTTTGAGTACTATACATAAATGCATCTGCAGATACATATACCTAGTATTTACTCATCAAATATTCCTACATTGGTGTCTAATTTAAAAGTTGTTGGCTTGCCCCTGTTTCCATGAAATGATGATTTTGTTAAGTATTTTGATGTGAGCCTGAGAGCTGTGTGTGTTATATGAAGAATAACATACAACTGATGATGAGCTCCCTGTGTATACTTCTTTTATGAGTCAGGTACCATAGGAGCCTCATGCAGCTTACCTTGAATAGGGGATAATTTTATTACAGAATAGTAAGTGTAAGAGAGAGGAGTGCACTAGGGGAAGGGTACCTAATGACTCTGAAATACAGATCTGTGTTTGGAGAGAATGAAGTGAACTCTGTGTTGGTAATTTTGAGCTTTACGTATTTTATAGTTGTGGGTAAGGAAATGGGCCATTCCTAATATAAGGGAAGGGTCATTCTTTGCTGGACAGCTTATTTTATCACCTAGTCCAAAGGGTCTCAGAGAGGCAAATTACCCATTGGAGAGGAAAGGCACTTATATTTTTATAAGTACATCTTCAAACCAACTGCTTTTTAAAGGTCTTTGTGGATAATGTGACCATATAATTTAATATACACTATGGGACAAGTGCAAGATCGGTGGGAAACTGAGACACATATCCAAACAGGGAGCTGTCTCAGGCAAATGAAAAATATGGTTGCCCTATTTATAGAGGAAAAAGTGTTCGAGGCATTCCATGAGATGAGGGTGGGAGAGATGGTTTGGTAGATTCTTCCCTTTGGATAAAAAATGTCAGAGGCCAAAGAGGTATCCTATTTCCCTTTCAAGAGGCAGTCAGGAAAATGCCAGAGACAATGGATTTTAAGGACCTTACAAGGACCTGAAATCTTTGGCACTACAATTTTAATTTTTAAAGATTCCATACTTTCCCATTGTGATTAATTACAGAGCTATTTAATTAAAAAGAATCTTCGTATTTGGTCTTTAGGGACAGCAAGAAATGGAGTTCTGGGAATATAACCCATTCTGCTGTCATCATGCATGTTGGTGGGGAAAGAGTAAGGAAAGAGGTGTTCTGCAAGAAAGAATAGACTACTTGGGTAAGAGGCATCTGAAATAAAAAAAACCTTGGGGGCAAAAGAACAGATCCTGTGAAACGCCTGACATGGTGTCTCACCAGTCTGATCAATAAAAAAGGCTGTGATTTGAGTGACCCTAGCTAATTCTGTGCTGTGTGAGTGATCGCTGAAAACAATGTCACTCGGTTCTTTGGAAGCTAGGCCATGGGCTCTTAGTGACAACTTGTGTTCATGAGCTGTTTGTTGGAGCCCAGCGACTTCACTCTTCAGTCAGCGGCCTCCGAGTGCTTTGGAAGGCCACCAGTGGGATGCAGGCAGAAGGCTCCCCATGCAAAGGGCGTGCCTCGAAAACCACCAGCCTAAACCCTGAGCTGGGTCAGGTGAGCTCAGTGGCAGACATTTTTCCCTACAGCCCCGCCCACTCCTGCTCCAGGCCCGCCCACATCCCAATCAGTGCCTTAAATCAGCGTGCCGCTCCCCACACACATCCCAGCGCGAACTGAGAACTCGAGTCTCGGCAAACTTCCGGCAGGGGAGGCGAGGGGCGCAGGGAGCGCCCACTGCGCGTGCGCGCGCCCGTTCGGAAGCCCCCTGCACCCCCTCCCCTTGCAGCCGGACTTGGTACGGCCGAGACTTGGTACGGCCGGACGGTTGGCGTCCTCGGCTGCTCCAGACAGGGGCGGGCTTTTCAAATCTTATCTTTGGCCGAGTGGCGGCGGTCTCAGCTGAAGCGCTGGAGATGGAGGGGCAGACCCTAAGGGGTCCCGAACTCTACCTGGCGGGGCATCCTGCACAGCAGGTGAGTGAGGAGGGGGCCGGGCTTCAAGTCCTCAAGCTGTCGTTTTGTCTGGTCGTCGGGAAAGCCCTCACTCCGTCCGCATCTCGTATTCAGCCGTGGCCAGACACAAAGGGAAGGACTAGGAGACTGCACTTTTGAGGGTCGAATGGAGCTTGCAACTCTTCACACACCCCCGCCCCCTGATTTCTTGGGGAGGAAACAGGTCCGGAATTGGGAAGCGATGCCGGAGCGCCGCAGTTCCGGGCGCACCTGTCCGCTGCCCGCCCTCCTCCCGCAAGGTTTGGACGCTCGTCTAGTTAAAAGTGAAGGTAACGTAGAGTAAACGGGAGCCCTAGGACTTACGAGAAGCCCACCCGAGGCCAACAGAAAGCAGTTTGCTTCTTTTACCAGATTGATGGAAAGCCCAATTGTTGGAGCGATGTCAGCACACGACATAAACTTATGTGGGCGGGGTGGAGAAGCAAACTGCAACTCTTGAACTTTAGAAAAAGTTGGTTTGGTTGTGGATTCATTTTGAGTTGGATAGAAGTTCGCTGTTTTCTATTAAGTCACCTAAAATGTGTTAGAAACCTTTTTTTCCTAAAATAGACCAACATTGTTTCTTGGCAAAATCAGTTATTAAAGTGTTATCCTTTCCACTCTTAACCAGAACTTTAAGGTCTTAAAGGAAAATCCTGATGTCATTAAGCTGGATCGTCACCTCCATTTTAATCTCCACCCCCTTTAACTTACTTCTGAATTAGGTTAAGCTGTATGAAATTGCCAGTTTTGTAGGACGAAATTGGTACAATGTTAGCACATTTGTATGGTCCAGCTTATCTTTGTTTAGAAACCTGGTAAAGTCTTTGCTTAGAAACCTTTATCTTTTCTAGAAACCTTAAAAACCTCCGCGGATACAAAATTGTTAGGAAGGCTTCAAGTCTACTGGGAAAAATGAAGCAAAACATTAAGAATCATTATGCAAAAGAGCCCAGTGTCTTTGTCAGTAATTTATGCTGTTCTATGATGACATGTTCAAATGTTTCAAACATTTTGATGTGAAGTACTTCTTTTCTGCCCTATGTTATGTACTTTGTCTTGATTGTTAATGAAATCTTGATTTCTAGTGAACTGGCGATTTATTGAGGTTCTTGCACGTATCAGATAGGTTGTTGGTGTAGCCACAGAAGTACATTTATTGAGCTCTGTGCAGCAGTAATATTTAGGAATGATGCCAAATAGGCAAGAGGACATGGTTATGAAAGAAGTTTAGCTACATGGAATGAAGATAAATATTTAAATACATATACATAAGAGCTGTATTATTTACATGCGAGAATGTACAATACTCAATGATTGCTCAGGCAGCAAGAAATTAAAATAATTTAGTTGTGGGATTCCTTCTGTTTGAATCTTGGAGAAAAATTGCAAAATAGTAATAGGTTTCAACCTAACAGGAATATTGAAGGTCAATAAGAGAATTTTACATTTGACTAACACTGAATTTTTATTTGGTGTACTTCCTTTGATACTAATGAGCCTGCCATCTAATAGGGATAGGACCAAACATTTTGACGTGGTCATACACTGTTGTAAGACCTCTCCTCAAACCTTGAAATCATCTGTGACTACTCACAGTACAGAATATTGGCTTTGGAGTCAGGTTGAGGTCAACTCCAAACCTGCTTATTGTGCAACCCTGAATAAGTTACCTGTGTTTTCTGAATCTCATTTTCTTAGTTGCAGAATGGGTAAAATGCCTATCCCAGAAAGTTGTTGGAATTCGAGGACCTTTTTAAAGTACTTAGCACGGTATTTTGCTCTCAGAACATGCTTGAGAGATGACTGTTTTTGTTATTATCTCTTTTTGTCTTATTCATCCGAGCAGTTGGAGCAGCCACCTACCTTGTCTTACAAATGTTTAAGCTTTTGAAACCTTAATACAAATAAAATTCGAGAAGTAATACAGGCTCATTGCAGAAAAATGAATGTGTATAGAAACATAAATTTAAGAATTCTTTCTCCAATTCCATTTCCCAGCATGACCACTATTAACAATTTCCAGATTTTATTCTGTACATGAACAATTCTTAAAACACACACAATTTCTTTTAGAAGAATGTATACTGAATATACCCTTGTTCAATCTTCTTTTTCATCTTGGTCTCTTAGCTAACGTGGTTTAACTATTTCCATTAAGTGGATGATAGTTTCTGTCTGGATTAGTACAGTTGTCTTAACCAGCAGCCCAACTTTTTTTTTTTTTTTAAGTCAGTGCTTAATTCTGACACTAAGGCCATTTTCTTTGCACTTCCTTTGTGCTATTCTAGCTTCTAAATCCTACTGTTTCTGTTTTCTACATGATTTAGATTTTCACTTTTAAGTCATCTCCCTATTTCATTTTTAGCCTTGCCCTGTCCGTTTAATTTTATCAGCCTGACTTTAAATACCTACAGGATTGGGACAGTGCCATGGGCCTCTGTTTGCCATGTATACAAGCAAGCCCTTATTCTGAAAATTGAAGAAGAAATAGCAAGAGGATGGATCACCTCCCATTCTCTTCTCTTCCTGGAGATTTGCATTCAGGCACTTCTAAGAGGGATAGGTACAGGGAAACATGCTTCTGTCATGGGTTCTAATCAGTCTTGACTCTGCCATGATGGTCGAGGCAGCAGCAGTGAAGATTTTAGCCCTTTTCTCTTCCTCTTTGAGGTCAGTAAGCATCAATTGAATGCTCAGTGGGTGCCCTAATTGCATGATCATTATTTTCGTTGTGGATAGCACTAGACACCAACTCCTACCCTAAGCATACTTTGCACCCCTTATTAACCAAAGACAAGTCTTTCGATTCCATTAAGCCTTTCTTAGCTAGAGTAGTATGGCTTGACCAGAGAGGTTTTCTCTGCATATAAAATAGAGACGTGCACTGAAAGAAGTTGCATGGAGAAGACAAAACTGGCTAACACGTAGCCCTCCCAAATCCACATCCACTCACTGTAGATAGAGTAGGTAGAGCCGTAGTTTACTATGTATGTTAAAATGGCTGGGTTAGGGATCAGCAAATTATTTCTGTAAAAGGACATAGTAAATATTTTCAGCTTTGCTGGCTAGACAGTCTTTTGAAATTGCACAGCTCTGCATTTGTAGCTTGAATACAAATGGGCGTGACTGTGCTCCAGTACAACTTTATATACAAAGCCAGGCACCAGCCAGGCTATAGTTTGCTGATTCCTGCTCTGAAGGACAGAATCCTGATATTAATATTTGCTAGATGTAACTCTATCCTTAATGAATATTTAATCTTATAAACACGTTTAAAAAAAACCCTGACTTTACATTTTTTTCTCCGCTGTTTCCCAAGCCTCTATAATTTTATAAAGTCTTTATGAATAAATGATGAAGAGAAGGCAGTCTTCATTTACAAGATGGAAACCCTGGAAGCCCAGACTGATTCCTTAATGTGGCTATGGCCATCTACTGGTTCTTTAAGGTGGTTGCAACTTTCCAGATTGCTGTGGAATTTTAAGTAGTCCAGCAGTTAGTAGTTCTCTATTTTGGCTGAATATTGAATCACCAGAGGAATTTGGGAAAAAAAAGAAAAAAAGCTCAGGCTCCTCCTCCAGAGATCCTAATTGTGTGGTGGTAGGTCATAAACTTAGGTACTTTTATAAGGCCCTTCCTATCTGCCTGAGGTAATTCTAAATGTACCATCAGCTTTAAGAGCCACTGTACTGGTTCAACTGGCTGCATCGCTGTAGCACTTACAAAGCAAAATTGAATTTAATGGCACCAGATGGTATTTGTTTATATTTGAGTTGTGGGGTAAAGCTATTCATCCCAACTTCAAGTTGCTATGTATGTGCACTCTTCCAATACTAACCAGGCTGCCAGAGTTTATTCCTGTAGATATATGGGTCACGTGGATAATCCTTGTAATTAATTATTAATTACATTAAATAAGAATTTACTTTGGGGCTGACAAGTCATAAAACGATGAAATAGAGTTGTTGAAATTCAGTCATGTGTAAAGAAGGAAAACCAGCAAATGACTGCATTTATATAGTACACCAGTTTTGAGTTATACTACAAGAGGAGATTTTATATGGTGATTACATGATGTAATTACAGAAGGTAATTAAACAGATATGTTTTCTTCATTCAACTAGTATATTTAATTTAGATAGTCAAGTTAAATCACCTACTGCAGTTTCTCTTTTTGAGTAATCTTTATACACTATTGCTGTCCTAACTTTGTGATTTTCTTTTTGAAAAAATTGTCTTTTTAATGACAAAACTTTTGTTACTAGATTCCATTCACATTTTTATATAGATTCTGATTCAAATAAAAGGTAAATTAGGGGCCAGCCAAGTCGCTCAGTTGGTTAAGAGCATGAGCTCTGAACAACAGGGTCGCCGGTTCGATTCTCACATGGTCCAGTGATGCTGTGCCTGAGCTGAGCTGCCACTGAGCTGCCAACAGGTGGCAGGATGGCTCAGCTGGTGAGAGCACGTGCTCCTAACAACAAGGTTGCCAGTTCGACTCCCGCATGGAATGGTGGGCTATGCCCACCCACAACTAAGATTGAACATGGCACCTTGAGCTGAGCGGCCGCGAGCTGCTGAGCTGCTGAGCTGCAATCGGGCAGCCAGATGGCTACTGGACTTGGAGCTGAGCTAGCCGTGCCCTCCACAACTAAGACTGAAGGACAACAACTTGGCTGTTCCCCTTCCCCAATTCCCCAACACTGTTCCCCTTCTCCAATGCCCCAATAAAAAAACAAACAATAAAAAACCTTTAAAAAACAAACAAAAAAAAGGTAAATTACAACATTCATGTTTTTAACCACAGAAAGAAGGATGGTCACTTTATTTTAAAAATAGACACTATAGTATAGTATCTGATGACTTAAACTTTTTTAAAAACCACTGTAAATTAAATCAGAACAGTACATTTCAGTTTACAGAATTTTAGTGTTACATACAAAACTAGTATATAGAGTCAGGCCATTACAATATCATTTTATGGAATAAAAAACTTTCAGAACTAAATGATTTAGTAGTTTCATTTTGACGCTTAAAACTAAAATATATCCAAAACTATGTTTTAAATCTCTGTTTCAGGTAACTAAACCTTCTCACATTTTCTAAGCCAGTGTTTTTGTTTTTACTCTGTTGCTTCTGAGATTTTATTTACATTGCTTACCATTGCTTTACATTGCTACCTTCCTGATGCTAAACCTTAGTTTCTTTATTCAGCATCGGCTATTTTAGAAAGTTTTTCCTTGGTTAATTTGGTGTCATCAACCACATCTTGCCATTCCACAATACAACTTAAATAAGATGTACATGTGCTATATTGTTCACATTAGTTATTATATTATTGTATTAGTTTTCAGAGGCTACCATAACAAATTACCAGAACTGAGTAGCTTAACACAGCAGAAATGTATGTCTCCTCGTTCTGGAGGCCAGAAATCTGAAGTTAAGGTATTTGCAGGGCCGTGCTTCCACGGAAGGTCCTAGGGAAGCTCCTTCCTGGCCTTTTCCAGCTTCTGGTGGTTGTTGGCAATCCTTGGTGTCCCTCGGCTTATAGTCTCATTACTCCAGTCTCTGCCTCCATCTCCACATGGAGTTCTCGCTCTGTGTCTTCACATGACCTTCCTACAAGGGCACCAGTTCCTGGGTTTAGGGCCCATGCCACAGGTCTCAACTAATTACATCTGTAAAACCTGATAGCCAAATAAGGTCATATTCGGAGGTTCTGGGAGGACAGGAATATTTGGGAGATACTATTCAATCTTGTAACATTACAGTAAGACTATGTAATGTTTCTCACCTTTGTTTCTATTCTGTTTGTCCAGCAGATTATAAAGACTTCCTAATAAAGCCAGAAATGAAGGTTTTGCAAAAAGCTTTTTAAAATAGCTATATTTTTATACTATCATACATTAAAACTTTGCCACTTTCCCAATATGGTATAAAATTACAGTGATATCTAATACACCGCCATCTATTAGGGATAAAAAGAAATGTTACAGTTTTGGATTTTTACTATCTTTTAAAAATGTTTTTCTCTCTTTTTTTTAAGGACTGCAGCATTCAAGAAAAAATAGATTTAGAAATTCGAATGCGACAAGGAATATGGAAACTCCTTTCTCTGAGCACTCAGAAAGACCAAATTTTACGTGCAGTAAAGAATCTCATGGTGTGCAATGCTCGAATAATGGCTTACACATCGGAACTACAGAAATTAGAAGAACAGGCTGCAGATCAAACTGGAAGATGGTTAGTGGCATAGTTTACCTATAGCTTTTAATGTACTTAAATATTTGAATTAAAAACATTATATAATTTAACCTTAACGTCAATTGTCAAATCACCAAAGCTTTTAAAAATAAACTGAAGTACCCTCTGATAACATAAACATTTTGACAGTGGCGCTCAGAATAAACTTATTATTTTAAGGCAGCATTTTTCACTGGGCAGTTTTGTTGTGTTTAATACTTCCAGATTCTAAATTAAATAGTTAAGAAGCAAGAACTGACAATATTTTAAAAAGAAAGACTGAGACTCATAGTTGAATATAAAGAAATGTAAATTAAAGAAAAAAAACTAACTGTTGAAAAGTATGCTAATAAAGAAGGTACTTGCTAAGTGTAATGGCAACTTAGGTATAGAAATTGAAATGAGTGGACAGCAAAATTGAAAAGATATAAAATCTTTTGAATGGAGGGGAACTTAAAAATCCACTACATCCTTTTCATATGGAGAATGTAAATCCTAGAGAGGCAAGCAATTTACTCAAGGACATGTAACTAGCTAGTGATAGAAGCTAATGAAAGGTTACTTGGGATTTGCTAAGGAACTTCTGGTTCTTGTTCTGTCACTCCAAACTGCCCTTTTGGATCAGGTCTGGGATTTGTGTGTGATATGTACATCCTATGCTACTTACAATGCCAAGTCTTATTTGAACTTAAGAATTGACTCAACTTAGTGGCTAGATGTTGTTGTTTTTTAAACATATAAATAGTCATATATCACCTGTTGTTGATCAGTCTTAAAGCTCTAGCATTAGTAAAACGTTTCTTTTTAGACATTAGTGGCCTTTGGGCTATTCACAGTGCTGTTAAATTCTTGAAAACTAAGGTAAAAACACAGGTCAGAGAAAGAGATTTCTGTAAAAATAAAATATTGATGTGACTGTGAAGTAATAAAGCCTTGTATACAACGTAGCTAATATTTGTTAGCTGCATTTCCCTGGGATAGCTATGTAATCTCTCTGTGCTTCATTTTCTTCATTAAAGTTGGCATGACAATGTTTACATTTTGAAAATTAAGATTATATATGTAAAAACTATTGTAATGCTTTTTGCATAATTAGTGCTCAACACCTGTCAAATAATTTTTTTTTTTTAAGACTTTATTGGGGAATTGGGGGAGGGGAACAGACAAGTTGCTGTCCTTTTGTTCTTCAGTCTAGTAGTGGAGGACGTCGCTTCACTGGCCCATGTTGGTATTTTTATCATTGCACTCTTCCTGGGTGAGGCAGATCAGTCACCGGCCACTGGACGGCCGCTCATGGCAGCCCACTGCAGCTTTTCTGCAGCCTGTGCCGTCACCAGTGACTCACAGCAGCCCAGCTCCAGGTCGAGCTGTTGTTCACCATCTTAGCTGTAGAGGGCACAGCATCACTGGCCCTCATGTGGGATCTGAACCGGGGCCCTGCTGTTCAGAGCTGGTGTCTCAAGGCAACTCTTAACCAATGTGCCACTCGGCCGACCCTCAAATAATTCTTCTTATTATTTATCCCTGGCATTATAAAATGAAATTATCCTAGTATCATAATCTAGGAAAATATTTTTCAGATAGACATACATCGGTTTAAGTCAGTGCTTCTCAAACTAGGTCAGATGAGTCACTGAGAGTACAGAATTATCGTATGTGTTAGGAGATATGCAAAGCCGTAGCATAAATATGACATATCTTCTTATAGCATGAATTTTTAATTTAAAGAATGAGAAATTTAGAATTGTGGCATAGTTTTGGGTTATTCTACTCATGGGAATATATGTTCCTTCTCCCTAGCCTTTATAAGGGCATTTTGTCAAGGGGGGCTATTTCAGTGGAAAAGTTTAAGAAACACTGGTTTAAGGACAGTATAAGACTAAACAATGTTGTATCATCTCTCACAGTTTTATGGAATATTCCTCTGAGAATCAGATCTGTCCTCTATATTTCTGTTCTTTAAATATTTACAGTAGACCCCCTTTATCATTAGGGATATATTCTAAGACCCCCAGTGGATGGCTGAAACCACGGATAGTACCCTAATTAACTTCTTCAATTCTGCCTGAAATGGGGCAGCAAGTTTCTTCATTAACAGACACAGCCTCTCCAGTAATTTAATATTTTTCAGTCCAAAGCTGTTCCTGAATCTGTGTAACCATCCCTTAACTTGCAGTAAATGGCTTGGTGTCCTTTGTTTCAGGGGATTCCCTTGCCGAATTCCTTTTATAGGCTCAGTGCTTTCTTGGACAATGTTACCCTCAATCAGAACACGTTTTCTGTTCATTTCTTCTACCCACTAATGTAATGCCTTTTCCATCGCAACTAAGCACTTACCATGCACTGTGGCTGTAACTTTTGCAGTTTGAGATGCAACAGAAAAACTATCATGCATTTCTTTTTCCTTCTTCACAATTTCATGGATAGAAGATTTGTTCTTAGTAACCTCAGCATACACTATATTTTCTTTACTATTGAGTCAAGAAGCTTCAGCTTTTCACTAAAAGGAAGCACTTTACAGCTTTTCTTTGGCATATCTGACTTGCCAGCATCACTCTTCTTGTGCTTTGGGGTCATTAAGTAAAATAAAGGTTAGTTGAACACAAGCACTGTGATACCACAACAGCCGATTTGATAACCAATATAGCTACTAAGTGACTAATGGCAGATGATGTATACAGGGATGATTCACATCTCAGGTGGGACAGTACGAGATTTTATCACGCTACTCAGAAATGCATGTAATTTAAAACTTATGAATTGTTTATTTCTGGAATTTTCCATTTAATATTTTTGGACCGCAGTTGACCGTGGGTAACTGAAACCGTGGAAAGTGAAACCACGGAGTAGGGAGGTACTGCTGTAAAATGAATTGTGAGTTGGCCATTTCCTTAATTTGGCAGTATGACTATTCTGAAGTTGCTGATTTATAAAAAAAAATGTTACATAATCTGAATCCCTGTTGGATTTATATAACAAAACTAGAAAAAATATCTAGGATTCTCAACTGAAAATATATATGATTTTCAGTTTCTTTACTGATTATCTTTGATAGATGAAAATAACTTTCATGCTATACACATTTATATTTTTTCATCGTTCATGTAAAAACATTGTCTCCTTTAATTATTGAATGATTTCTATTTCTTCAAAAAAACCTGAGTATTCCGCATGAATTCTTTTGTTTATAACTTCATTTTGTTATATGCAGAAACAACATGAGTTCACGGATTGAATGTAACTGGAAATTATAGTACTTGTTTTCTTATTATATAAAAATGATCTAAAGATTAATGAGAATCTTGTGATAGTTTTTTTAGTTCCTTGAAGAAAGTTATGTAAATTATCTCATTTGATCAGTCAGTCAAATAATTACCAAATATCTACTACTTGTAGAACACTTACTAAGCACTGTGCTAGTATATCCAAATTAAAAAAACACAATTTATCAAAATATGAGAATATATGTATATTCAGCAATCATATATTCTAGAGACTTAGCAAGTCTGTTCCTTATCTTGGCTTTGATAATCTTTAAGATAAGAAAAATGCTCTGTTTTTGCAATGCTACCAGAATTAAAACAGCATTTTAATGAGTCTACTGCCTACAGCTAGCCTACCTTCTCTAAAATTTTATGATAAAATGTCAAAAAAACGAATACAGATAATACATGTAGACTTTTCAAAGGAGAATTAAATCAGTATGAAATGGTAGAACTGAGGAAGGAGTAATGGAAGAGTTGGATCTGAATCTTCTAGATCATGAAAGATGATAGAGATGAGTAGGAGAAAGCAGCATTCCAAGAAAGGAAAATAGCAAAATAAAAGCTGAGGGTGGAAGATGAGCATGAATGATTCAAGCGCAGTGAAGAGATGTGTTTGGCTGAGATGAAGATCAAGGCACAGTTGAAAAGGAAAGGGGCGGCAGATATTGTGCTAAGGTGTTCACAAATTTATTACAAACTGAGAGAGAGGTATAAACATCTTTTTTCAAGACCTAAGCACTGGAACTTAGCATAGCATTTCGAAGAGCACACACTGACTAGGGGGTGGCTAGGATGTAAACCCAGATGACTTAAAAGCCTGAGTACCCCTCACCCGCCAAAAAGAAGTTCATGTATTTTGTACTACCTCAGGCTGCCCTGGTGAGTTATTATAGGGCTTTACATTTATTTCATTGTTTATCTTTTATTTTATTTTCAGCAAAAAAGAGACATGATAAAAGGGGTGTATGGGTGGGTTATCTGGTAGTAGATTGTTGAAAGGATGATTAGACAAAATGATTTAAATAACCAAGTTTTAGGGGAATTATTAAGGAATAGGCAGACATAGAAATGATTGAGTAAATAATTTGATGAGAGAATTGAGATAAAAAATAGTGCTTGAGTTTTGGGCTTTAATAATAGATTTTCCACTCAAGGTGGTCTTTATACAAAAACAACCATTCTGCAAACAGTTTCAGTTATTTATCAATTTATTATGAATGTATTAAAGTAAGCAAATAATCTTACTTCATTTTACAGCTTTTTAAAACCAGGGCTTCAGGCAAGAATTAAGCCCTTAATGCCCCAAGCCACGCATTGTAAACAGTGACTTAATTTCCATATTTCTAGAATAGTGCTAGTTTTGCCCCATTCTTGCAAAAATTGAGAAAATAGTCATTCTGCGGCTAACTTGAGGAATCCCCACTGAGAAATCAATGATAGATATAGTCATATCATTTGTTCTTTTTTAAAAAAACAACAACACACACACACATATCTGGGAATATCGGTAACTGTTAAATGCTCTGTTATCATAATGTTCTAATTATATAACAAAAGCTTTGTTGTCCTAAATTGTGTGAAGTTATGAAACACCTTCTGATATGCCACCTATTTTTGATGTCTAAATATACAAAAAATACCCAGGTTTGTGTACAATTCACAATAGTCAGGGTGAGTCGAGAAAGTGAGATACAAAAAGCTTTCTAGATTTAGGTTTCTAGATATCTAACAGGA